CCCAGGTACATCCGTACCAAGTGAGAGAGTTTTCTCTACAGCAGGAGACATTGTCACTGCTAGTAGATCTCGTCTTTTGGCAGAGAATGTGGACAAACTCCTCTTCTTGCAGAAAAAACATGATAATAGAATGAGCAGAGCCTTGTTGTTTATAAGCAGTGCAGTATGTGTTAGTTTGGTTTATGCTATATTTTATATTGATCATTATAATATTTACTGGATTATTTATTTTGTTATTTTAGATAACACAGTGGCACTTTAAGTTTGATAAGAAATCCAGCCTTATTAGGCCCGAGCAGCGAAGGCTGCGAGAGCCTATTGTATTTCGAAAGTTTCTTATTATTATAATTACAATTCTTGTAGCACTTTGAACGCATTTTACGGGGACTTCGCATATTCAAAAACTCAGGAAAACGTGGCAGTAAATTGTCCCCCGCGTGAAATAGCCGGTCTGTAATGGAATCCAAAATGGCCGCCCCCAAACTGCACCACAGCGCCCCCTAACGTGAGTTGGGGGAAACTGTAAGTCACAGAGATCTGAAATTTGGCACACAGGTAGATCTCATCAAATCATGAAAAAAAGTCTCTTGGAGGTATGCCATAAAACCCAAAGGAAGTCAGCCATTTTGGGTCAAAGTGTAATTTTTGGCCATTTTTCATTTATTTGATTGTGTTTCAAATACTGCAGAACAAACTGAGTTTTGATAATCAGGGAATTGAAACATGTCAATTTATCTTGAGTTAATTTCAAACAAAGGGACTTAAGTCTAGTTTTGATAGAGCCTATGCTTCTTTGTTAAAGATTGTTTGCCAAATAAATGAAGCACATGTTGGAACAAGCACTGTCTCCTCTCCTGCAATGCCAGAATCTCACCTACTTTTAACCTAAAACTGTCACAATGATGTATCAAATGCCAGACTGCTTTTTTCTTTCAGTTTTAACCTGACTATACAAGACATCATAGATTTTCCTAACAATCAACATATACTGAACCGAAAACCGTGAACCGAACCGAACCGTGGATTTTGCGAACCGTTCCTCCTTTAGTCTCTATACTCCAGTTAATGATTAATTGATTAATAAATGACTGAACTCCTAATTAATCACAATTTATCTGATTAATTGTTTCAGCCATAACAAATATAATACATTAAGTGCTCGAAACACTTTCAATCCTAAATAAACCTTTTGAACGTGGTCCTACTCGACAACACTTAGTTTGCATTTTGTCAAAAATGTAACCTGCAAATTGGTCTTTTACAGTAAAATCCAATTAGTAGAGGAAACAGGTTGGATCCCAAATTAAATTTTCTTCTTAAGTATCTTCTTTAGTTTTAGACCAACAGCAGAACCAGACATCATGATTCTCCCATCTTACCGTCACTGGGCACCCCCTGTAGCTCAATGGTGGTGGTGCGGGCCTTCTTCTTGGCCGGGCCTCCGTCAGATGAGGGCGGCTTCTGCTTTTTGTCTGCTCCTGCCAGCGCTTCGTCTGGAGCTCCAGGCTGAACCGAGGCGTCCGGTGGGGGACCGAAGGGGTTCTCCTCTGGATCCTCGACTTCGGGGGCGATAGGCAGGTACAGCAGTGCCTTGTTGTCCTCCAGCTCTTCATCACTAAAGAGACAAACATTTAAAAGTTAAAGGAAAAGTCCGCTCATATTCACAATTCAAACTTTTGAAAGTACTTTAAATATGAAATAACTACATACTGTGTTTAAATTCAGAGTAATTTTCATGTGAATGTGCTTTACTGGAGGCATCCATGTTTGTCAGAGAACACTACTGCCACTAGGGCTGGGTACCGAACGTCGGTTCTTTTATGGTACCGACCGAAATGCTTTGTCTTTCGGTACCAAGTTTTCGGTGATTGGCTGTAAC